TTTCAAGTCAATAATGTTTTCAGCTGCAGCAGTAAGCCGCATGATGCGCATGAGTCTTTGCACATTGATGCTTGAAATCACAAATAAAAAAATGTAACTGTGAGATTTTCACTGCTGACACATTTAAGGGCAAATGACACTCTCCTCTCAAACATAGAGACTTCCTCTGAGCTGCACTCAAACTACATAAAAAATGCATTATAGTTACTGCCAACCCTGAAGCTTCAGTGTTTAGCCAGCTCTGCATCGGTCTGTAAACCTTTCTGCAAAAGCATCTCCAATATTGATCCTAGTTTGAGCACGTTTCTGCTCGTGGAGCTTATTAGAAACATGCAGAGGCTTTTTAGGTCGGGGACAATCACTTCTATCTGAACCAGTTCGTCTGCCCGCTTTCATCGCTGCAACACCTGTTGGTTTGCCGTTTACCTGGCAAATACAGGGGCGTCCAAAACAGCCATGTGGAGATGCTTTGAAACCGCCTACCTTTCTCTGGTCCAAACAAAAACAAACCATTCTGCTCCTCAATCTAAATTTAGAAGGAGGCTGCTGCGTTGTTGTTCAGAGAAGCCAGCACCGGATCATAGCATTTTTCCTTAACGTCGGATGATATAGTAAGGTCATTTTATGATTTAACTCAGGAGATATCTTGCATATTGGTCCTTTAGTGATCGATTTGTCTAAATCACATTGATTATGTATTTTCATGGTCTTATGTTTCTAAAGATTTTACTCTTCATTTAAATAATAGTGACTCAATAATTTCATCATGTCGAGAACAAACCAGTGCCTCCCCCCGTTGAGGCAATGAAAAACTGCCTGTGATGTTTTAAAGATGTGACAACCAAAGGATGGTGTTACATTTTAGTAAGAATAGAACCGTCTTTTTTCCATACACGAACAAATCTCAATCCTGTTTCACTCTGTCGTTCAAGCATATAACTTCATGGAGGTAATTCTATAGATTTATGTCTCTGCTATTTCTTGTGCTTGCTGATGGGTAGAGTCATTTTCATCCTGATTGGCAATACAGACATTGTTGATTGTATTCTAATGGAAAAGCTGTAAAAAAAGCGACATCAATCGATAAGCTTCATTTCACAGCTCTGCACTTTGTTCCTGGAGGTGTAATGATCACTGCAGATACAAACAGGTCGATGACAAACTAAAAATGAAGTTTCATTTAGATCTTTATCCTCCCGTATTATCTCGATGTTGTCACGATAATAGAAAAAGCTTTCGTGCTAATAGAGGTGCTGAGTTGAAAGAATATCCTTCAGCTCAGGGGGTTCTTCAAGTGCTGCTCTCTTATCAGTCTTTTTTGAGTCTGCTGCTGGAGCTCGCTGTTCAAGAGCGCTGCAGTATTTAAGCCATGAAAAGATGAAAAAACGAAATAACCTCCTCTTCCCCTGTGTAATTATGAAAAACAGAAATGCAATGTTCTTTATCACTTGTGTTATAACACAGAACCGAAAATAGGATCACTTGCATTTTTCACTGCAATCAATTCTAAACGAGGTAATCAAGACCACACTAACCGAGACCAAAGTGCTCTGAGACCGAGACAAAACCAAAAGATTTAGGGATCAAGACCGAGTTGAGACTAAGACCAAGGCAGGGCGAGACCGAGACAAGACCAAGATCATAAATATCAGTGAAAAGTCATCATCTTGGGTGCAGCAGGCGTGTCACTTGTTTAGACTGTTACACTGTTTAAAGGTTGTGGCCGTAACCAGAGGAATAAAAATCCAATTATGAATGAATTAGAGTCGTTCTTTCAGAACAGGGCGTTTTCCTTCTAGTCATAGTAACTCCCAATTCACACATACTCTGTGCACGCCGCGCTCCGTCAGCGCACTACGTTGTACTTAGCTGCCACTCTAGTCAATCATTGTGTTCACACAGGGCGCGCTGCGGTCCGTCTCCAGCACGAGCCACCGACGGCACTACGCTCTGTTTCATATACACAGCGAGTCTATTTTCGCCGGAGTGCGCTGCAGGCACGCGTCAAGCTGCACAGAATATGACAGCCCGGACAAAAAGTCAGACAAGGAAACACACAGAGCATCCGGTCAATTTCAAAATCAAACACAATATACGGACTCGCGGTTGTATTTTTCATCACTTTATCAACATGACGTCAAAACAGGAACCGAATTAACAACAATGCATCTTCAGAAAGACAAAGCAACATGTTGTTTGCATGTTTTTCTCTTTATTCCCGCGTGATATTGTAGTTCTCCTGTGATGTGTCATGGCTGCGCTCCGCTGCGCTGACGTCCCCGAAACGGATCCAGTGTGAATGGGCGCGAGCCGTCCGACGGAGCAAAACCGCGGCGCTGGATTTAAAATCCAGAGTCTGCACAGTCTGAGGTGAGACTGAGTAAAACTGCTTCCAATTCAGTGACGAGACCGAGACCTTCAAAAGGTGGTTTCAAGATCAGTCTTGAGACCAAAACTGATTTCAAATACTACAACAGTATTATCTCTGTAAACATGGAGTTATTTGTGGTTTGTGCACTATACATTACCATGAGTAGCTCTGTAGATGAACAATGTGTTTATGTGTCCATAAAACAGCCATCTGAAAGGTTGAGCCCGCATGATGCCTTCCCTTTTTGTTTTTCTCACAACACAATACCACTCCTCTCTAAGGTATACAGAATGGATTTAATAGACTTAAACACACAATAGCTGTCAATGGGACTTTAAGAAGTCATTAGTTTGTTATTGTTTGCAATATTGCTGACTAAGTAGGTTCACAGATTGTGTGTAAATGTACTATTAGTGCTATTGTGTGTGAATACAGCTTTTAATAAATTATTTTCCCTTATAGACATTTAAAAATCATCTCAGCTGTCTCACTTTGATCCTGCACACCAAGAATGCACATTGGTATTTTTCCCCACACGAGGCGGCTGTGGCTTAGTTGGTTGCGTCGTCTCTCAACCAGAGGTCGGGGTTCGATCCCCAGCTCCTGCAGCCACATGTCCAATGTGTCCCTGGGCAAAACACTGAACCCCAACCCCATCAGTGACGCATCATTAGGGGTGTTACTGATCTGCGCTGTAGCCGCTTGTCCGGAGTCACGGGGCCCACCTCAGCCTCACCCATTTGCCTGTTCCTTGATTGACCAAAACTTAGGTTGAGATAGCATTTTCAATATGGCACCCGCCATCAATGGGCTTCAAAAGTGTGCTTCAGAAAGCAATGGGTGATCACTGAGAATATGTAAATGTTTTAAACAGTCTATGTTCTGAACCAACTTCTGGATCAAAGCTAGATTTAGCCTTCTAATGGTAACATAGCTGCTAACATTAACACACCTTCACAGATCAAGTCAACGTTGCACTGCATTACATAAACAACAGATTTATTTCTCTTGGCAGTAAACAAACAACACATGTTTTATAGTCGGGGCATCACTACATATTCAGAGCCTAAGAACAGTTACCTTACCTGAACCTCGATAAACAGCAGATGCTTGCACAGCTACTCACACAGAAACTCTCTCACAGGGGCACATATGCCTCGTAGTGAGTGTCAAGGCCTCTGGCCCGGGGCAGCTACCCATGCCTATACACTGAGGTGTACACGGTTACAGTCTGTCAGCATCACCCCCACCATCCCATGACGGCCACTGCCAAACACCTTTAACCCTCACTGCTCTGTTGCATTTTAACCTCATTTTAACCTAAACTGAGAGAAGACAAACCAAAGAGCCAATAAGTCAGTTTGAGGGGACTTGGAAATAAATCCTGTCTGTTGTTTAATTAGCTGCAGCCTGACTGCAGACACAATGCATGCCATCTTTGTGTTAAAGTACATTATAGGGGTTTATTCCAAATGTCAACACCTAAACAACAGCTTACAAAAACAACTATTTGTTATGAACATCTTTCATGGGCTGTGGCTCAGTTGGTAGAGTCGGTCGTTCAACTGGAAGTCGGGGGTTCAATCCCCGGCTCCTGCAGCCACATGTCTGATGTGTCCTTCTGCAAGACACTTAACCCCAAGTTGTAGCTTCGGCAGCGGCATATGAATGGGATTAGTTACTTCTGATGGCAGCCTTTACCATCAGTGTGTGAATGTGTAGGTGTGACCTGCGAGGAAAAAGCACTAAGACTGGAAAATCTCTATACAAGTTCAAGTCCATTTGCCATTGCTTTTTGTTATTTGTTGGACATGAATCCTGTGTGCTTATGTGCCCTGTTTCATGTGTGACTTCTGAGTGGTTCTTAAGAAAGTAGCAAAAAGAACTACATTACAAATATTTAGAGCATAGAATCATTGAATTATCTATAACTAGTGCTTTTGGCTAATCATGACACAGAATGTAAAAATATGGACATGGAGTCTCAGTGACTTCACTTGTTGGTTTATGAAGTTACGTAATGAAGCCCTAAAAAGGGAAATCTCATCCTAACTTTAAGTCAATCTAGTAGCTGAGGATGGCCCTATCCTCAATATAACCAAAACTAATGCAAAAATAAATAAATAAAAATAATCCTCTTACCATATTTACCAATAAATATCAACATTCTGGGACCCAATCTGTTTTTACTAGGTTGTTAATATGTTTATTTCTGCTTTAAAAGTTGGCATTTTAATATGGGACCTAATGGAGATTCCTTGAATCAATCAAGTGGACACTTCTGCATTTTCATATAATTTCGCATTGGCTTCATTTTCTACCCTGGCGTTTGCTGATTGCTGATAACCCATTTCACAATATTTTTGTACTCCTAATAGAACATGTGTCACATATCCTTGATTTCTAAAAACTTGCATTCCCATCTCGTTGATTACTTGATTTTGACAACAACTCATCTTGGCTCATCAGTTAGACGGTGCAAACTTCAATTCAATGCTCCAATGATATTTCACCTTGCCTCTGTAGATTTGTAAATTCCAGATTATTGACATCATCTTTTTTCTGTTTGCACCACCTTCCAATAAGAAAACACATTACTGTAAAGATAACATGGATGTTTTTGTCTTACTATGGACACGTTGCTTCCAGCATTTTTATTGGTGTAGTCTCCATCCAGGTTTTTCTCTTCTCCAGGGACTGGCAGGTAGTGGTCGTTCCTCATCATCATGGAGTGCTCCTCCTGCTGCGGGCTGCCTTCGAGCTCACAGGCCAGGGGAGGAGAACCTGAGGGGGAGCAGGGAGATGGATCAGGCATTAGCTGTGTGTTTTATAATCTTCCATATACCAAGCATCTTCATGCATATCCACATTTTAATTATGGTTGTTAAGAGTGAAGAAGGTCCCAGTAACATCTGCATGAGCAATGCATGCAAACAAGGTACAAAAAAAACAACAACAGCAACACGTTTTGCTTCTCCATCACAGTTACCTGTGCAGGTGAAGGTGATCAACACCAACATTCCTGTCACAAACATTACACTAAACAAACTCAGTAACATCATAAACTATTTTCAAAAAGCCTGATATGGAGAAAATATGTTTTCAAGCAGAGGTGCTCGGGGGATTTTTAGGGCTTTACTAATGTGACTGCTTACGAATGAAATATAGCAACAAAAATACAGTCTTTTGTTAGTATAGTCCTAAGGGAGCACAAATGGAAAAAACATTTCAATAAGAGTTTCATTCAAATAAAGCTATAACGCTCTGTTTTAGGTGTAACTTAAATGTTGAGGGCTGAAGCATCAAAAGTTGAGTTGAGGCATGGGAATGAAGGCAGCGAGAATGATTCCACTTTAAGGTTTTTATTAGCACAGGTTTTTCCCTAAATTTGTTGAGTGTTTTTTCCTGTTTTGGAGACAAAAATATGAAATTTATGATTCGCCTCAACAAAATAATGTTCAATAATTCTTAACAGGCTCAGTTAACAGATGTATCAATTAAACAATAAATCAAGTCTGCCTATGCCTCATACACAAACATAATCACTCATTTACTCAAACAATAACTCAAAAGGTGGAACAGGTCTTGTCCTTCGGAGAAAACACTGAGCAATGAACTCGCCTTCCCTTTATGGGAGACCTGATTTAGGGATCTCATTCACCTGTGGCTGATTGCTGCAGCTACCACAGGTGTTTCTTGTTGCTCCTAATTGAGCTCAGGGACTCAAGGCAGACATAACATCTCAACATTGCCGCCCCCAAGGCTGGTAACAGCTTTGAACCCAACTTCATGTCTTCTAATCACCATCATCTCTGAGCTCAGGCAATGGAACTAGCCGTGCAACAGGTCCGAGGTAAGTTCTGGTTTTGACTGACTTCTGCTGATCTGACCTGGCGCCAACGTCTCTTTCCAGTAAGCTCATCGCTGTGGTACATAACCTGGGGGAGTGAGGCCCTTCCCCATGAGGAGCATATTTGGAGTGACAGGGTCAGGGTCTGCAACATCCGATCAAGCTCTGATCTGAAAACTAGGAAGGTCTTGTCAGCTAGGTGGGTGAATCGAAACTTTCTTTGAGTAGATATTGATAGCGGGTCGTTGTCAGGCTTTGTTTGGACTGAGCACTTGAGTTTCATTCTCTGAGCATCAACAGGAGTCTGACGCTTCAGCGTGGCCACAGAGCCCGGGCATCCACGACATAAATTATTATTATCATTATTTCCAATATGGTGACCGCCATCGTTCGGCTTCAAAACATCTCTTCAGAAACTAATGATTGGCCTCACAGTGACTATGGCCATCTCTAAGAATGAAGACGCTTTGGTATTTATAGCATCATATGTTGAAAATATGGCCACTGATCAAGACCAATGACAACAGGACAGGTCATAGAAACCTGGGATTAATTGTTTTTAAACTGCACTCACACCTTTCTAAACTCAAAAAAAAAAAACAATAGCACTGTGCTACAAGATGAACAAAAAAACATCCTGTATTATATTTAAGGTTATTCTAATGAATACATTAGGGAGATGGCACTTCAAATGGACTGCCTTAACATTCTTGTGTCATGATCATTGCCATGTAAGTGTGATAGTATTGGTTGCATCTGGATCAAAGGGGCAGCTTTGGTAAAAATCCATTTCGCAGCTCTTTCTTTGCTGCCATGGTCTTTTCTTCTGTCACTGTATTAACATATTTTTATTAGAGCTTCTCAGAAATACTAAAATTTCAATGACATTAAGGGCCAAAAGTTTTATACACATCACAGTGTCTCAGCTCCATGTCAGCGGCGTTATATGTTTGGGTTATATCTGTTAACGGCTCTCTGAATTTCAATTTCCAGAAAACCCTGAGAGTGTTGCAGGTCAAGTGGTTTGTAGCACTGGTTCTAGAAAGCTATGCAAAACAGGCTAAATGGAAGTGGCCACAAATGAGACACTCAAGTGTATGCTTCTGCTTCTGTATCCAGGTTAGTATTTTATGTAGGTCTACATTTCAGTCCTCGTCTTTGCTAACTTGCCTTTTCGGTTGGAGCTGCTGGTTTGCAAGGATATATTGCAAACCCATTAAGTGAAAGTGGATTGATAAAGATCAGACCAAAGGCATTTGTGAAATGTGTTGTATTGTAGTCAATGCACTCAGCAAATAGTTGCCATATATTCACTTATTAAATAGATACTTTGATCAAATGTTCAGCCTATTGTTGGTCTGACTAATTACTCAACCTAAAATACCCTAAATGAATTAGGGTATCCCCTGTTGTTGCTCCAAACACAAAATGACCTTTACTTCTGTTTTCCAGACAACAGCCTTTTGTAATGGTGCATGCCATGACCGTCCTTCCTCAGAATTGAAGGCGGAAGTACGGCGTGCTGATGTTGCACCCTAACCAGGAAAACAGATAAAACATGTTTTATGTTTGCCTTAACATAGTCATAGTTTTTTTTCTATCAGGTCAGTTGTGTTAGTAGGCAAACTCTTAAGCAAACAACATGAATTGTCATTTAGTTACGTGAACTTTTGCACTGAAAAAGTCCATTCCTGGTTTTATCGTATTATATTCATCTTTCATTTCATGACAAAAGCACTTAGGGCTGCAGGTTAATGATGCTCTGAAAAGGCTAATTGGCACAGTTACAGGAAATCCCCAACTTTATCACAAAATCTGTACTTGGAATACAAATGTTTAACCCTTTGACTTGCATTGTAACCACGCGGTTGATCTTTTTTCCGCCACCATATTGCTGTATTTAAAACTCTGAAAACCTATCTTTGGCTGTTTATCCTCATTCACCTCATTGAATAGTGTATGTAACCCTGATTATGTCCAATGGGTGCACATAATTATCATTGTCTTAAAACTGAAAAATTCCGGGAGTGACTCGGCGCTGCACAGCTCCTCAGAAATCTCACAGATCAAGAGCAAACGTCTGGGTAAAAAAACAAATCTTTTCACATATCATTTGTAGACCCTCTAACAATCATATTTTAGTTGAAGGAAATAAACTTGACAATAAAATATATATCTACGATTCCTCAGAATACATGCTCAACCGCTCGGTTGAGTTGCCAGTCTACGCAAACGGCCTGGCTCAAGTCACTAATTTCTTATTTTGTTCACCTTTTCTAACCATATGGAAGCGATTAGTGATCAAAATTCAAATGATAAAGCTGAAAATTCAAATGCATTAACAGAAATGCAGTTTAATTTTTAGAATATGAGTGTATTATTTGACTCAAAAATAAAATGATGATTAATTTATCTAATTTGAATTGTCACATTGTTTGAGTGCACATTCTTTGACTAAATTAAAATGAGGAAGAAAATTACATTTGCTTTATCATTTTCCAAAAATGCCCCGCTACATCTGTATCATAATTCAAATGAAAAAGCTAATTTTAAAATGAAAATACAGTAACAGAAACACGTTTTAATTTTCAGAATATAGGTGCATTATTTGACCTATATTTAAAATGAATATTCAGTCATTCAATTTGCATTATACTTTCAACATATGATGCTATAAATACCAAAGCATCTTCATTCGTAGAGATGGCCATAGTCACTGTGAGGCCAATCATTAGTTTCTGAAGAGATGTTTTGAAGCCGAACGATGACCCATCGTACTGCGCGTTCTGCCCGCTCGCCTCATAGACTGTAAATATTACGTTCACCTGCCTGGGAGCTGAGTCTGACGTCACTTTCCTGCGCCGTCCACTTTGTCATTTCGTTTTCGAGTTGGTTTGAATTATGATCACTTTTTAGCACGGCAAGATTGAAAACGAAAAGCCAAAGACCTTTTAGTTTTCATTTGAATGATGTCATACAATATGCAAACATAGAGCGTAAAAGTATAATGCAAACTGGATGACTGAATATTCATTTTAAATATAGATCAAATAATGCACCTATATTCTGAAAATTAAAACGAGTTTCTGTTACTGTATTTTCGTTTTAAAATTAGCTTTTTCATTTGAATTATGGTACAGATGTAGCGGGGCATTTTTTGAAAATGAAAAAGCAAAGAATGTGCACTTTTGAAGTTGAAAACTAAAATTCAAATTAGATAAATTAATCATCATTTTATTTTTGAGTCAATCATAATACACTCATATTCTAAAAATTAAAAAGCATGTCTGTTAATGCATTTGAATTTTCAAATTAGCTTTATCATTTGAATTTTGATCACTAATCGCTTCCATACTAACCATGGCTACTCATTCAATTTATTAAATAAATTACAGGTTATTTTAACAAGTGCTTCTCTCTGTGATGTTTATATATGAAAAAACTAAACATTTTGTTGCAGAAATGGAAGAAATCCATTCATGCCCAAAGTAACCCTAAACAGGCAAGTCAACCAGCTGGTTGGCCTGCATATCTGCTTCCTGATTGGGCAATCTGAAAAATATAACCTGAAATGTTGCTTAATGAAGATGTAGGAACACAATTTTACCAACAAATATTTTTTTGCAAATGGATTTCTTAGTGTGGAAGTCAAAGGGTTAAAGTAATGTAAAATTATGAGATCGATATATTGTTCACTTTGTGTAGTTACAGGTAGTCGAAGGCAACACAACCCTGCCCAGGGCTTCATATCATCTGCCAAATGTTTTGGCAGAGAGTCTAGACAGGCGGCACCCAGCATGGGACCTGGATTTACTTTCACAACATGAAATGTTTTCAGTGTAAATCAACATTTATCGCCAGGACTGGTCCATCTGTCTGAAATTTGGCTATGTACAAAGAAGGCTGTCATTTCTTTATTTGCATCTACCTTCAT